GGAGTTATGGAGCTAAAGCCTCAAAGGAGACCATGCTTTTTGACCAAAAGGGAACCACAATGATTATAAATGTTGGTTCTTCTCCTGTGGGGTTTCAATTGGTCGTAGAGGCAGGTTTTTTTTTTTTTTCCAAAGACTACTAGATTTTTAAAAAAATATATTTTTATTGATTTCAGAGAGGAATGGAGAGGGAGAAAGAGATAGGAACCTCAATGATGGAGAGAATCATTGATCGGCTGCCTCCTGCATGCCCCCTACTGGGAATTGAACCCATAACCCGGGCATGTGCCCCTTGACTGGAATCAAATCTGGGACCCTTGAGTCCGCAGGCCAACGCTTTATCCATTGAGCCAAACCGGCTAGGGCAGTGGCAGGTTTTTCAAAGAAATGATAGTTGCAGACTAAGGTGAGTCAATTTTAGTTCTCTCCCATGCCTCCTTGTTTTTAAGGAGTATCTGTTTTGTGCCAGTGGCTCCCAGTGTCTGGGAAGGACTAGAGATTGACTCAGCTGGGCCTCTGGGCTGTTCCTCCCACACTGCATTTGCTTGCTTTGGAGAGGACTACCCATGAGGATTTTTATGTTTTATGTATTTATGTTCAGAGAGAGAGAGGAAGAGAGAGAGAGGAGAGAGAGAGAGAGGGAGGGAGGGAGGGAGAGAGAGAGAGAGAGAGAGAGAGAGAGAGAGAGAGAGAGAGAGAAAGGGAGACAGGGAAGTGGGTGTGAGTGTGAAGTGGATGTGATGGATGTGTGAGAGGAACATAGCATCCGAGAAGTGACTGAGTCAGTTGGTGTGTGGAATACACAGTGCCCACACTGTTGGGGTGTCACGTAAACTGTATGTAATCAGATCATAGATAATCTTGCACCTGCTTTCTTTCTTTCTGGCTGCTCTCCTTCAATCTTACAGCCTCCTCTCTGCTTGACTACAGTGTTTGCGCAGCACTAGGCTCTGTGAGAGAATTTGCTTCCTGACGCACCTATTCCTATCAGGTGTCTGCTGTAGAACAGAGGACTCTGCAGCCAGGAGAGGGGATCTCTTGCTTATAGATACCCAGCATCAGTTATGTATAGTTTCCCGAGTTCCTGCCCCAGTTCTTGTGAATTGTTCCCTGACTTGTTGAGGTTCACACCCACTCCCTAGGATGTGTTGTGAATTCTATAGGGTGCATTTTCTCTCTTACGGGTTCTTTTGTCCCTCCCTGCAAAATGGCTTCCACTGAGCCAGAGGACTGCAGGCATCAGGGATAGGGTTGCAGCAAATCTAGCCTTCAGTCTGGGTACTGATCCAGGTTGAGATGGTGCACAGCTCTGTCTCCTCTCAATGCTCATTGTCTTCCTCCTAGAGTTCAGTCTCTCAGTCCCATAACTCTCCTGGGGAAACCTCATCCCTTTAAGTGTCTGCTCCTTGAGTGTTGGCCAGATGCTAGTGAAGATTCTTCTCTTGATGGCTCTGAAGTGGAGAGGTAGGTTTTGGTCCCATGTAGAGGAGAGACAATGGGTGTTTTGATAAAAGGACACCTCTTATTATGAGAAAAACTATAGGAAATTTACTTAGTTACTTAAGAAGCAAGAACATTTAAAAAATATATTTTATTGATTCTTTACAGAGAGGAAGGGAGAGGGATAGAGAGTTAGAAACATGGATGAGAGAGAAACACCGATCAGCTGACTCCTGCACACTCCCCACTGGAGATGTGCCCGCAACCAAGGTACATGCCCTTGACTGGAATCAAACCTGGGACCCTTCAGTCCGCAGGCCGATGCTCTATCCACTGAGCCAAACCGGTTAGGGCAGCAAGAACATTTTTCCAAGGTAAGCAGCTATCCTACTAGAAATTTGTTCTTCAACTTCATATGACATTGGACTTGCTCCTTGTAAAACAGTAGTCCTGGCCTTTTTGAGCATTTGATGATTTCTGAGCTGGGCATACATTACAGGAGTCTCCACAGTGAAATCCATGATGGGCATTGGCAAGAAATTATGCCTTCAAACACACTTTATGCCATAATACACAAAAACATAAACTCCCAAAGACTGCGTAATTTGGTTATTTGGTTTACATTATTTGGTAATCTGTTTTTTAAAATTGACAATATATTTTGCACATCTTTCTAGACCATTAACTATTCTTCTTTCTCCACTAAAACATTTTATTCTATTACAACAATATATAATATTACAAGGATAATATGGAAAATTTAATTATTTTCAATCATTTATTTATATGACCAACATGCAATATATTCACGTGATCACTTGTGTGGGTATTTAGTTGTTTTCATTTTTGAAGTTATGAAAAGAAGTTGTTCAACTTCCTTGTATTTACATATAAGGACTCTCCATGATTATTTTTCTCAATAACATTTTAAAAGTGAAATTGCTGTTCTCTAGGCTCTGAATACCTTTAAGGCTTTTGATACATAGAGATTAATTGCCCACCAGAAATGTTTGCACTAAATTTTATTCCCACTAACGTTGGATGAGAATATTAGTTTTCACATACCTTCACCAGCATTGGGTTTTTATCACATTTTAAAATCTTAGCCCAAACTGGTGTATGTTAGGCAAAAACTGGCATATATTCGCTAATTTAATCCTTTATTTGTGAATTACTTGCTCATGACATTTGTACTTTTTATCTTTGGATGTTTGTCATTTTTGTTACAATTTCTATTGGAACTCTTTATACCACTACTATTACTATACTACCACTACTACTATCACAACTGCAAATACTACCACCAGATACTGATACTACATTCACTTATATGAACTCATTTGAGTGCACAACAATCCTACAAGGTGGAGTATATATATTAATAATATATATTTATTTTTTGGCTTGAGCAGATTTTATTTTGCAGTCAAGAATGCAGCAGACAATGTAAGAGTAATTTCTAAACTGAACTCTCAGTGGTGAGGTGACTCTGGTCCAGAATAGGGCTGAAGCAACTGAAAATTTGAGAGGTCCAGGTTTAGATCTAAGAAGGTGTATGTGGTATATTCACGATGCTGCTTTAAAAATTCTCTCCTTGTCTTTGGTAAAACACAGTTTTAGTAAAATGTAATTTGCTGCACAGCAATATATGACTAATTGAGGGGTTCCCACCAAAGCGAGAAAACAGCAGGGTGGACAACCTGGAGACTTATATAAGTGGCTTAATTGCTTCATCCAAATAAGATTTCTTCCTGAGTGACCAATTCTGTAACCTTGATGCTACCTGAAATAGGGACCTAAACCCTCTCTATCTTTTCATATCTGTTTCTCATTCAGTACCTTAGATTCCTGCTTTGCTGAGGCCCTAGAATCATCTCTACTAGCTTTGAATTGAGGTCACCAAAATGAGAATTTTTTTTCTTATAATGTAATCAGCGCTCAGTCCCTGGGGTATCCATTCTCACTGCTCAGGTCTCTGCTTGGGTCCATATGCTTTCATTCTGGAAAAATAGAAGTGGTGCATCAAAAAGGGAAACATCTGTAAAGATGCTGAATTTGAAAAGAATCCTTGTGTATTAGTCTGCTCAGGTGAGCTGCCATAGCAAAATACTGCAGACTATATGGCAACAAATTACTGCCAAACATGGCAGCTTAGTGAGCAAGAATCTAGTATCTACTATCTCTTAGTTTCTGTGGGCGAGGAATCTGGGCATGGCTTATCTTGGTCCTCTGACTTATGCTCTCTCACAAGGCTACAATCATCTTAAGGGTCATCTGGGAGTGAATACTACCAAACTTATCCACCTAGTTAATTGGCAGCATTTAGACCAGCAGTTCTCAACCTGTGGGTCTCGACCATCGGGCAACACATATAGCATATCAGATATTTACATTACAATTCGTAACAGTAGCAAAATTACAGTTATGAAGTAGCAATGAAAATAATTTTATGGTTGGGGGTCACCACAACATGAGGAACTGTATTAAAGGGTCGTGGCATTAGGAAGGTTGAGAACCACTGATTTAGACCTTGATGAACAGTTTAATAGAACCTCAGTCCCTTGCTGGCTATTGGCTGGAAGCCTCCCTCAGTTCTTTGTCATGGAGGTTTCTCCATACACAGCTCACAATTTGGCAGCTGGCGTCATTGCAGCAAGCAAATAAGAGAGTAAGATAGATCAAAAAGAGAGAAACCAGAGTCCTCTTGAAACCAATTTCTTAAGTGACAGCTCATCGATTTTGCCAAATTCCACTTGTTGGATGCATGTTACTGGGTTCATCCCACAATCAAGTGTGAGGAAGATTATGTGAGGGTGTGAATGCAAGGAAATAGGAATAATCAGGATTTTAGAGGCTGCTTAACACACTCCTCTGTTCCAAAGCTAGATGAGAGTGCTCCCTGTGGGCCAGAGGGGAGAGAAGATTCCTCCACTGGCCTGGTGGGCCATGAACTATAACTGGGATGGTGAACTTTGGCCCCTACCAGCCTTAGGCATTATCTATTGAGACAACAGCATCCTGATCCTCTAAAGGCCTATCCTCAGTGGGGTGCCTGGAGCTGGATCTTACTAGCTGGTGAGAAATAATTGTGTGCATCTCTTTCCAACTCTGTACTTAGTGATGCCACATTGATAGCTTAAAACTGGTCACAGTGGGAATACAGGGTAGGGCAAAAGTATGTTTATAGTTGTGAAATAGTTTATTCTCATATTATTATTTATTAACTATTATATTATTTTCCATATGAACAACTGTAAACCTACTTTTGTCCCACCCTGTATTTACACCACAGAAATAAACAAATGCTATACATAGAGATATTTTTGAAACCCTAGATAACTATTTTTTTCTTCTGAGTGATTCTCCTTTTACTTATTACAGTTTAGTTGTAATTTTGATGTGGTCATGGGAGGTGGTGAGAATAGTGTTTACATACTCTGCCATCTTGACCTTTGGAACTCTCCCAGAGATCTAGGTTTTTAATACTAAACACACACCACTGTACGGTCTCCTAAAATCTCTGCTGTGTCATGAGTTCTGTGTCTACGTCTCTCTTGCAGCTGCAGACCTGAGGCTGACGAGTGGAGGCCACCGCTGTGAGGGGAGAGTGGAAGTGAAGTACCGAGGAATATGGGGCACAGTGAATGATTTTGACTGGAACCTGGAGGATGCAGCTGTGGTGTGCAGACAGCTGGAATGTGGAGTTGCTGTTGCTGCTTCCAGAGGGGTTTATTTCGGATCAGGGGTAGGGCCCATTTGGCATTCATATCTTTTTTGCGAAGGGACAGAATTGAAAATCAATGACTGTATTCATTCTATGGTTCGAAACTATCATGAACTTGACTATTCCCATACCTTGGATGTTGGAGTTGCCTGCTCAGGTAAGCCTGTCATGTCTGGAAGGGGATCCCCAGCAGGAATAGCCTGAGTCTCATTCTAAGGATCACAGCCTTTACTAGTAGAGCATTCATGGGAGAAGATTCCAGTTACACAGTGATTCCTAAAGCATTAGGTATTCAAAGAAGCATGTTTAGCCCTGGACAGTAAGTAGTCCATACCTACGGATCACAGAACTTTTCATCCCTGTGGTGTGTCATGAGAAATAAGGAGGGGGGATCAAAAGTTTCCTATAGGTACAACTACTGGGTTGTACCTGTATGAATTTGTCTGATCATAGTAGCTATTTGTAGTCTTTCATGAGATGGTCAATCAGGTGTAGCCACAAGAGGGGACATGAAAGAGGCACAGGAAAACAAAGTTTTTATACGTACAAGTCCTAGAGAGACAGAGTCACTTAATTCCATAAGGGGGCCACATGGGAAAATACCAAGGAAATAGGCTTAACAAGCAGGTGGGGAGGAGAGAGAGAAAACTTATAGACAAATGACTTATATTGGGGGTCAGGGTGGAGTACACAAGCAAAAAACATAAGGGGATTTTATTTGTGTACTGCAGCCTAGATATTTCTCCCCAATTTTTTTAAAAAATAAATTTTATTGATTTTTTACAGAGAGGAAGGGAGAGAGATAGAGAGTTAGAAACATCGATCAGCTGCCTCCTGCACATCTCCTACTAGGGATATGCCCGCAACTAAGGTACATGCCCTTGACCGGAATCGAACCTGGAACCTTTCAGTCCGCAGGCCAACGCTCTATCAACTGAGCCAAACCGGTTTCAGCTCTCCCAATTTTTATCCGCCACACATGGGTGTGAAATCAGCCCCTTCTGTATTGCTACCCCTCCTACCAGTCTTGATGTGGCTTCTAATTCCCTAGTTGTAAGACTTTCATTCAGTCAGATTTCAGATGATTCTGAATGATGATTTTTCTGTAGTTTAGTTGTAATTTTGACGTGATTGTGGGAGGAAGCAAGTACTATGTTTACCTAGGCTGCCATCTTGCCCAGAAGTCCTCACTGAGCAAACTTCTCACAATATTATTGACTATATTCCCCTTCACGTTTTTCATCCATCCCCCTCATCCCTCCCCTCTGGTAACCATCCCTTTGGTCTCTATTTCTATGAGTTTGTTTTTGTTATGTTATGTTTTGTTTTCAGATTCCACATGTAAGTGAAGCCATATAGTATTTGTTTTTCTTTGTTTGACTTATTTCACTTAGCATAAGACCCTCTAGGTCTATCCATGCTGTTATAAATGGCAAGATTTCATTCTTTTTTTATTGCTACATAACATTCCATTACATATTATACATCTTCTTTATCCATTTATCTATCGATGGACATCTAGGTTGCTTCCATATCTTGGCTTTTGAGAATAATGCCACAGTGAACATAAAACACTGCATTAGTAGGATCTATAATGATATCCCTCTTTTCATTTCTGATAATATTAATTTGTGTGTTCTCTCACTTTTTATTGATTTGTTTTGCTAAAGAAATATTAGTTTTATTATTCTTTTAAGAAGAATCACCAATTGACTCTGGTGATATTTTAAAATTTATTTTTAGTTTTTAAATCCTCACCTGAAGAGTGAAGATATTTTTTTCCATTGATTTCTAGAGAGAATGGAAGGGAGGGAGGAATGGGAGAGAGAGAGAGAGAGAGAGAGAGAGAGAGAGAGAGAGAGAGAGAGAGACATCAATGTGAGAGAGACACATTGATTGGTTGCCTCCCGAACATGCCCCATCCCGGGTTGGGGTTGAACCTGCCACCCAGGAACCTGCCCTTGACTGGGAAATCAAGCCTGAGACCCTGCAGTGCACTGGCCAATGATCTAACCACTGAGAACACTGGCCAGGATGACTCTGTTGATATTTTTTATTGTGTATTTGCTTTTTATTTCGTTGATTTCTGTTCTTAGTGTTCATTCTTTTTTAAAAATTTTATATTATTATAAATGTATGGCAGATAAAAATTGGGAGAAATAAAATATATTTTTATTGATTTCAGAGAGGAAGGAAGAGGGAGAGAGAGATAGAAACATCAATGATGAGAGACAATCATTGATTGGCTGCCTCCTGCACACCCCCTACTGGGGATCGAGCCTGCAACCCAGGCATGTGCCTGGACTTGGGATTGAACCATGACCTCATGGTTCATAGATCAACACTCAACCACTGAGCCATGTGGGCTGGGCAGTGTTCATTCTTTTTGGATAATAATTTGCTGTTATTTTTGTAGACTCTTGAAATGGCATCATAGATCATTTGCCTTTAGTTTTTATTTTCTATTCTAATGTATACATCAAGGAAGCATCAAGGCTATAAATTTTCTTCTCAGAACCTCTTTAGCTGTATCCTGCTAATTTTAATATTACATATTTTCTTTTCTATTTTATCATCATAAAATGTTTATTATTTCTCTCTGAATAAATTCTGTCTTACTTTATCTGATATTATATATTACAGCTTTCTTGGATTAGTGTTTGCAAGGTATATCTTTTTTTGATTCTGTTTATAGTTCATGTGTGTGTTTTTGTAGACAGCATATGGTTATGCCTTTTGCATAGTCTGATCATCTTGCTTTTATTTGGAGAATTTAAATTATTTAATTTTAATGTAATTATTTCATGATTTGCTTTAAGTCTGCTAGCTTGCTATTTGTTCTGTTTTTTTTATTCCTATATTAATCTTTATTTGAGTTTTTTTTATAACTATTTTATTAACTGTATTGGTCTACTATTTCCCTTTTTAAAGAGTTTATCATAATGTTGAAATTATTGCTTTTTGATCACTTTTTACCTTCAAATGATATTATAAAAGTTAACATATAAGATCTTAAAACCGTATACTTCTGTTTTCTTATTTTTGACATTTGTGCCAGTAATGTCATACATTTTACTTATAGATATCCTATATAATAGAAGCCTAGGTGGTGTCGTGCAATGCCCTCACACAATGTTGTCACAAGATGGCCACCACAAGATGGCCACCACAAGATGGCCAACAGGGGAGGGCAGTAGGGGAGGGCAGTTGTGGGTGATCAGGCTGGCAGGTGAGGGCAGTTGGGGGCAAGATCATGCCAGCAGGGGAGGGCAGTTGAGGGTGATCAGGCCAGCAGGGGAGCAGTTAGGTGTCAATCAGGCTGTCAGGGTAGCGGTTAGGGGGTAAGCAGGCAGGCAGGTAGGTAAGCAGGCAGGTGAGCGTTAGGAGCCAGCAGTCCTGGATTGTGAGAGGGATGTCCAACTGCCAGTTTAGGCCCGATCCCAAGGGGTCCCAGATTGGAGAGGGTGTAGGCTGGGTTGAGGGACACCCGCCCCCCCCGCCCCCGCATGAATTTCGTGCACTGGGTCTCTAGTGTTATAAATATTATAATACATCACTGTTAATTTTGCCTTAAATGTTCTTTTATTTTTAAAATAAGAAAAAATCTTTTATATATTTTTTCACAAATTTATTATTTACAGCAGTCTTTATAGCTTTGGGTAGATCCACTTTTTTTTATCTGTTATCATTTTCCTTTAGCTTGAAGAACTTTCAGTAAGATTTTTGTGTAGTGTAGGTCTGGTGTCCTCAAATTCTCTAATCTTTTATCTATTGTCTATTTGCATTCAATTTTGAAAGGCATTTTCATAGGAGACTTAATTTTAGGTTGGTAATTCCTACCCGCTACCTTAAAATTGATTTTATATTGTTATTTATATTATATATCATATGGCTTGCATTGCCACCAATAAGAAGTCAGCAATACGTTTTTGTTTTGTTGTTGTTCCTCTCTATACAATGAGTCAATTTTCTCTGACTGCTTTTTTAAAAAAATTATTATTTTATTGATTTCAGAGAGGAAGGGAGAGGGAGAGAGAGATAGAAACATCAATGATGAGAGAATCATTGATTGGCTGCCTCCCGCACACCCCCTCCTGGGGATCGAGCCCACAACCCGGGCATGTGCCCTTGTCTGGAATTGAACCTGGGACCTTTCAGTCTGCAGGCCAACACTCTATCCACTGAGCAAAACCAGCTATGACTAGGCTGCTTTTTAAAAAAATATATTTTTAGAGAGAGAGGAAGGGAGAAGGAGAGAAATATGGACGTATACTCACAACCCTCACAACCGTTAACCTATTTTGCCCCTACTTTGTTGTCTATTTCTCCCTTTAGATCTGTCAATGTTTGCTTTATACAGGGTGTCCCTCTGAAAATGTATACACACTTTAACAGCTGATAGCTCAATTTTGGAAATGAAATGTATTTTAATAAAAACTACTTTTATAATTATTCAAAGTGTGTGTATACATTTTTTTGGGACATATATATAGGTGCTTTGATTGTTGGGTACATATATATTTGTAATTAGTATACCTTCTGGTTGAATTGACTCTTTTATCATTATATCATGTCTTTTTTGTCTCTTTTAACAGTTTTTGACTTAAAGTCTATTTTGCCTGATATACTATTAATGTTGATCTCTTTTAGTTACCATTTGCATTGAATCTCTCCATACCTTCACTTATAGTGTAAGTGTGTCATAAAATCTAAAGTGAGTCTCTTGTAGACAACATGTAGTTAGTTCAGTCTTGTTTTTAAAAATCCATTCAGGCATTCAATGTCTTTTGAGTGGGGAGTTTAGTGAATTTACATTTAAAATTATTGATAGGTAAGGACTTGCTGTTGTCATTTTGTTAATCATTTTCTGTTTTGTAGTTCTTGTTCTTCTCTTTATCTTTATTTATCTACTGTACTTTATTTTGTGGTTACCATGGTGCTTACATGGAATATTATACAGTTCTAGAAGTTTGTTTTAAGCTGATAACATACAGAAACTACATTTTACTCCCCAACCTGCCACTTTATGTAATCATGTCAGATTTTATTTTTTTCTATATTGTGTTTTCATCAACAAATTTCTGTGGTTATAGTTATTCTTACTTATTTTGTCTCTTAATTTATATACTAGTGTTAAAATTGATTTATGTACCACCATTACAGTATTGCAATATTCTGTATTTATCTTCATATTTACCATTATTAGTGGGATTTATACTTTGATACATGAACATACTTTTGTGTTGTTGTTTAGCATCTTTTCATTTCAACTTGAAGAACCTTTTTCAGCACTTCTGTCTGGGGGTGCTTGTCAGAGAAATTTTTTATTTTTTCTTAATTCTTAAATATATATTTTAAAATATATTTTTATTGATTTTAGAGAGAGGAAGGGAAAGGAATAGAGAGATAGAAACATTGATGAGAAACATCGATCCACTGCCTCCTGTACACCCCCCACTGGGGATCGAGCCCACAGCCCGGGCATGTGCCCTGACCAGGAATTGAACCATGACCTCCTGGTTCATGGGCCAAGCTCAACCACCAGGCTTTTACTTAGTTCTTAACGGATAGTTTTGTTGTTCATGGTTGGCAGTTTTTTCTTTCATTACTTTGAATATCATCCTGCTCTCTCCTAGCCTGTGAGACTTCTCCTGAGAAATCATCTATTAATCTTATAGGGACTCCCTTATATGTTACAGGTTGCTTTTCTCTTGCTGCTTCCAAAATTCTCTCTTTGTCTTTGAATTTTAATAATTGAATCATAATGTGTCTTGGTGTAAACCCCTTTGGTTCTACCTATTTGGGTACTTTTGGGCTTCATAAATCAATATATTCATTTCCATCTTGAGATTTGAGAAGTTCTCAACCATTATTTCTTTAAATGATCTTTCTGTCACTTTCTCTTTTCCTTATGGGATTCTCAAATACCTATATCATTTTGCTGGACACTGTGTCCCATATGCTTTCTTCTCTTTTTCATTCTTTTTTCTTTTTGTTCCTCTACCATGATAATTTCAAATGACCTGTCTTTGAGTTTGCTGATTTTTTTCTTCTGCATGATCAAGTCTTGTGGAAGCTCTCTATTAATTTTTTTTCAGATCAGTCATTGTATCCTTGAGCTCCAGAATTTTTTTGTTCCCTTTTATGTTTTCAATTTTTTGTTAAACTGTTTTTTGTTTATTTATTGTTGTTCTCATTGCATTTATTTGTCTATCTGTGCTCTCTTGTAGCTCACTGAACTTCATTAAGCTGATTATTTTGAATTTTTTATTCATAGATATTAATTTCTTTAGGGTCAGTTACTGGAGCATTATTATTTTCCTTTGATGGTATCATCTTTGCCAGATTCTTCATGATCTGTGTCTGCATTTGAAGGAGCAGATACCTGTTCCAGTCTTTATAGACTTTTTTTTTTTTTTTTTTACAGGTAAAGATCTTCTTCTACTATATCCTTTGACTGATAGGACTGCCTTCAGGATCATGGTCTAGACAGCCGTGGGCAAAATACGACCCGCGGGCCAGATCCGGCCCGTTTGAAATGAATAAAACTAAAAAAAAAAAAAAAAGACCATACCCTTTTATGTAATGATGTTTACTTTGAATTTATATTAGTTCACACAAACACTCCATCCATGCTTTTGTTCTGGCCCTCCAGTCCAGTTTAAGAACCCATTGTGGCCATCGAGTCAAAAAGTTTGCCCACCCCTGGAGCAGAACTGGACTCAGGTCATGTAGCTGCTGCTGGGTCTGCTATTGGGTCTGTGGTCAGTGGGCCCGGTAGCAGAGGCATGGATAGATATAGTTCCTGCTGGGTTCCTGGATGGCCCAGACTGCCTCCTGAGTGTGGTAGAATGGGACTAGAGCCAGGTCACAGGGCTGCTTCAGAGTCACAGTCAGGTTCACATTTGGCCTTCCTGTTGCTTGGGCATGGTTCCTTTTGGGCTCCTGAGTGGACAGGGTTATCTTCAGGACCACAGTTGAAAAGGGTTGGATCTAGGGGATGGAGCTGCTTCTGGGTTAACAATCATGTCTAAGATTGTCAGACCTCTTACTGGGGGCATAGATTCACATGTATTCTTCAGGGTTCTTTGGTGGATGGGACTAGTGGCCAGACCATGGACAAGCTAGGCTGGAGCCAAATCTATAAGAGGATGGAGCTGCTTCCAGGCCTACAGCTGGAACAATAATCAGAAGGCCTGCCACTGGGGCTTGGATATGACTTATTTTATTGGCCCTCCTCATTCTTTGGCTCCCCCATGGTTTTGCAACCTCTCATCTGGACCTCAAGGCTCCCACCAGGGCACTTGTGCATATAGATGGCTGCCAAATCATTGTTTCTGTGGGAAAACAGAGGTTGGGACTTACTATTTTGCCATATTGCCAATGTCAGATAGAAATAGACTTAGTGTAATGACAGGATAAAAATCAATTACTACCATCCCTTAGCATTTGCTAAGACTCAAAAGAAAAACCTCTAGTAGGACGTGATCACAAACTCAGCTGCCTTGTAAACTGCCCCTAAGAACTCACTCTCACCCAAGTTTACCAACAAGTTGGTCCTGGTTGAAGAGAGATGGCCAGGACCAACTCTTCCCTCTGCTATGACTCTCTGAGCTTTCTTAACATCCAGACGTATCTTTTCCATTTAGATCACCAAAGATATTCTGGGATTTTTTTTTTTGCCATAAAAAATTATCAGAAAAATAAAATGTAAAACCATAAAAGTGAATTTGTTATAATGTCTATTATTTCTAACCTTGAGCCATCACAGTCTGCCTATAGGTTGACATGGATTCATGGATACTATCCTCATGATTTTCCGTATCCTCAGTCATTTGAGGATTGGCTCCTGAGAAAGAAGCTAATCAGAATTCGAACCCCACAACTCTCAGGATGGCTTTCTAACCTTTTATAACTGATAGGTCTCTAACCTTTCATAGCCCTTGTCCCTCTAGGTTGTTCTTCACTGAAGTTTGAATGCTTATGTATTGTGTAGTTTCCTTGGGCACTGTAGATCCTAGTACCCATTTGAGGACTTCACTTCTCTGATCAATCCTGAAATATATGTTCAAGGTATTCAGCCATTACAAATTATTTATCTTCAGAAACACACACATGGAGGTCCCATTCTGACACTGACTGTTCAGTATTATTCCCATTTCTCATTCCTTGGAAAAAGAAAATTTTAACACCATGGTTTATCAGATGTCTTTTCTAATTGTCAACATGTGATTGTGAACACTCACTGGGTCTATTTGTTTTCTCTTAGGATTTGTGCGTCTGGTTGGAGGGGATGGACCCTGCTCAGGGAGAGTAGAAGTACATTCTGGAAGAAATTGGGATTCAGTATCTGGTGGGAACTTCACATTCTCCACTGCCCAGGTTATCTGTGCAGAGCTGGGGTGTGGCAAAGCTGTGTCTATTCTGATGGATGTGCCCTTTAGAGAGTCAGATGGACAGGTCTGGGATGAAGAGTTCTGGTGTGAGGGGCAGGAACCTGAGCTCAGGACCTGCCCCAGAGTGCCCTGTCCTGGAGGTACTTGCCAGCACAGAGGTGCTGTTCAAGTTGTCTGTTCAGGTGAGTTGCAGAGCAAGATTTTAACCTCTCTGCATAATCTGTTGGGGTGATAAAAACATAATACTTTGTTAAAATCCTATCTTCTCCTACCAGCATACACAGAAGTGCGGCTCATGAAAAATGGCACCTCCCAGTGTGAGGGACAAGTGGAAATGAATATTTCTGGAAAATGGAGAATGCTCTGTGCCTCCCACTGGAATATGGCCAATGCCAATGTTGTCTGTCGTCAGCTCGGCTGTGGAGTTGCCATCTCAACCCCCAAAGCAGCATACTTTGTGAAAGGAGGTGATCAAATCTGGAAAGCCCAATTTCACTGCTCAGGGGCTGAGTCCTTCTTATGGAATTGCCCAATGACTGCCTTGGGCATTCCTGACTGTACCCATGGAAGCACGGCCTCTGTGATCTGCTCAGGTAAGAGAAAGGGAAGGGCTAACTGGTACTAAGGATGTTTCTTGAGTGAACTGTGCCTAAGAGCAGAAAGTGTGGAAAAACTGCCTTAAAAATAAGGTATTTTATGGTGAAATATTGTTCTTTTCATTGTTTATTCATTTTTCATGTCAGCACAAGAAGTGTTAAGAAAAATAATATTTTAAAAATAAGCAATATTATTTAAGTATAATCATAGAGAACAATGTGTAAGCAGTTAAGTGTATACCTTGGTCATGTAGCCCAACCCAGATTAACAAAGAGAACATTAATAGCACCTAGGAAGTTACCTTCCCGTCCTACTAATCATTCTGCCCTCCCTTCTCTCCAAAGAAGAGGTCCTCAAAGAACTAGAAAAGGAAGAACAAACTAAGCCCAAAATTACTAGAAGGAAGTAACAAGGATCAGAGCAGAAATAAGTGAAATAGAGACTAAAAAGACAATTGAAAATGTCAATGAAACTAAGAGCTGTTTTTTTTTAAATTTCACCCAAGGATATATTTTTAGAGAGAGGAAGGGAGAGGAGAGGAGAGGAGAGGAGAGGAGAGAGAGAGAGAGAGAGAGAGAGAGAAAGAGGAAGGGGGTAAGAGACAAACACCAATGGGTTGTCTTCCATATGTACGTGCCCTGACCAGGTATCAAACCCAAAACCTAGATATGTGCCCTGTCTGGAAATCGAACCTGCAACCTTTAGGTGTACAGGATGACATACCAACCAACTGAGCCACTCGCCAAGGGCAAGAGTTGGTTTTTTAAACAAGATAAACAAAATAGAAATAAGCATGTCAAACTCAGGGCCGGTGGGCTGCATGTTTGACATGCTTGAGTTAGACTAAGAAAAAAAATCTCAAATAAAATAAAAAATGAAAGAAGATGAGGCTGAGACGGCCCCTGTGAGGCTGAGACAGCCCCTGCAAGGCTGCGCCGGCCCCTGGGAAGCCGAGAAAAATACCACATGATCTCACTCATTTATGGATAATAAAGACCATTATAAACTGATGAACAAAAATAGATACAGAGGCAGAGCAGCATTGAACAGACTGTCAAACTACAGTGGGAAGCCTGGGGAGGGTTGGGGGGGTAAGAGAATTACTGAAGGACTTGTATGCATGCATATGAGAATAACCAATGGACACAAGACACTGGGGGGTAGGGGAGGCTGGGGGAATGTCAGGGGGGGGGGGAAGGAGACATATGTAATACTCTTTGTAATACTTTCAGAAATAAAACAAAATTAAATTAAAAAAATAAAAATAAATAAAAAAATGAAAGAAGGGACATTGCAACTGATACAACAGAAATACAAAGATCATAGGAGGCCATAATGAACAATAATATGCCAGCAAATTGGATAACATAGAAGGAATGGATAAATTGCTAGAAACATACAACCTACCAACACTGAACCATGAAGAAATAGAAAATCTGAACCGTCCAATAACAAGTAGGGAGATTAAGTTAATTCTCAAAAAACTTCCAACATAGAAAAGTCCAAGATAAATTGTTTCACCTGTGAATTATACCAGACACTTAAAGAAAAATTAACACCAGTCCTTTTCAGTTCCTTTCAAAAAAATAGAAGAGGAGGAAACACTTGCAAATTATCTTATGAGGCCAGCATTACCCTGATAGTAAAGCCAGATGATAACACTAAAGGAAAACTATAGACCCATATCCTTGATGAATAAAGATGCAAAAATTCTCAATGAATATTAGCAAATTGAATTCAACAACACATTCAAAAGATCATACACCATAACCATGTGGGGTTTATCCCTGGGATGCAAGGATGGTTCAACATATGCAAATCAATAAAGATGGTGCACCAAATACTGGAATAAAAGATAAAAATCATATGATCATCTCTATGAATGCATAAAAAGCATTTGATAAAATAAAACATATTTTCATTACAGACCAATAAATTGGGTCTAGAAGGAACAAAATAAAAACCCATACAGCAAAACCTCAGTTCTCGAACTTAATTCGAGAAGTGATTTGTCAGAAAACTGTATCATTTTTTCCTCATTAGAAATAATGTAAATTGAATGAATCCATTCTAGACCCCTAAATGATTCCCTGCTTTAACCTTTCTTATATACAGTACATGTCTAATGCAGCATCTTTGCTTGTTCATATAACACTGCCTCTGAAATGGCTGTCACTGGCTAACTGCTTTTTGTTTATCCAAATCAACAACACTTTTTCTGCTAGTACCTCTTCAATTGCCTCTAATTATTGTTTCTTTCACACCCTTAGCAACATTAGCACTCTTGATGGCTTCTTTATGTTTTAGAATTGTGCTAATTATTAATTTTGTCAACAACAAAAACATTCTCTCCTTTGTTGCCTGAGAAAAGCTTTTGTCACACTGAGGTATCAGCAAGAAAAGGTCGTCAGGTTGAAAGTCAGTTTGGTTCAACAATCGAGACATTTTTTTCTGTGAACAACTTGGTCGAGAACTGAATTGTTTCAGATAGCAGACAGTCCAGAAACTAGATTTGTATATTACAAATGCACAGCTATCATTATATTCAAGTGTGAACAGTTGAAAGCTTTTCCTGTAAGATCAGAAAAACTATAAGGCTGCCTACTCTCACCACTCTTATTCAGCATAGTACTGGAAGTCCTAGCTAGAGCAATCAGCCAAGATAATGAAATAAAAGAATCCAAATTGGAAATAAAGTAAAATTGTCATTATTTTAGATGATATGATTTATACTAATAGAAGGGTAATATGCTAATTAGACCGGCTAGACCGGATGTCTTCTGGACATCATTCCAGACAAAGCCGCAGTGGCTGCGAGGGCTGAGGAGGGCCAGCAGCTGTGGCGGCTGGCAGTGGCAGCAGCAGTGGGGTGATGGGGGTGGCACCTTCCCCTGATCAGCCTGGTCGCCTCCCGCATCCTCTGAGGGCTCCTGGACTGTGAGAGGGGGCAGGCCGGGCTGAGGGACCCCCCCACCCAGTGCACAAATTTTCGTGCATCAGGCCTCTAGTCTTATATATTGGAAATCCTAAAGACTCTACCAAAAAAACAGAAGTATTCAATAAATTCAGCTCAGCTCTAAGATATACAATCAACATACAGAAATCAGTTGTATTTCTATACACTAAAAACATAACAGCCCAAGTACCCATGAGTAGATGAGTGGATAAAAAAGATGTGGCACATTTGCACAATGAAATACTATGCAGCTGTAAAAAAAGAAGGATCTCTTACCCTTTGAGATAGCATGGAGGGACCTGGAGAGTATTATGTTAAGTGAAATAAGTCAGCCAAAGAAAGACAAGTATCACATGGTCTCACTCATATGTGACATTTAATGAACAAAATAAAGTGATGAACAAAATAGATCCAGAGACATGGAAGCATGGAACAGACTGACAAATCTCAAAGGGAAGGAGGAGGGGGGTAGGAAGAGATTGACCAAAGAACTTATATGCATATATGCATAACCCATGGACATAGACAATAATGGGGTGCAGACTCTCATCTTACACCATACACAAAAATCACCTGAAAATGGATTAATGTCGAGTGTGTTTCCTTCCACGTCCCGCGTGGAGTAGGGTTCGGTATCTGAAAGAGGAGCCGCACACAAGTGAAAGAAAAAGACACGAGATAATTTTGCAATATTGGGGGACCAGGCGGGCAAGTCCAACTCAAGGAGAGGGACTTCCACTGATGCTCAGGCTGCTCCAAGCTTTTATTTGATCTTGGGTAGCCCTAGGGTAAGGAGGTTTGTCTGGGGTAGCCTTAGGGTAAGGAGGTTTGTCTGGGGTAGCCTTAGGGTAAGGAGGTTTGAATGACAATTTCCAGAAATAGGCAGAATATCTGATCAACAATAATCAACAAGGATCTACACAAGTATCTAAGGAATTAAGGGAACTAAGGTGGGGATGCTTCAGCTATTATTACCTAAATTAACTGGGTGGTTCCTAGATTAACTGGGTGGTGCAGTTCTGACCTTTGCTAGGACTTCAAAGGTTACTAGCTTTTGGGGGTCTGTCTAAACTCAGCTAGTGAAGACAATGAATGGACTCCGGCAGATTAAAGACTTGAATGTAAGACCTAAACAATGGAAGACCTATAATAAAGATAGGGAGTAAAGTCGTTGACATCAGTCTTTGCAATTATTTTTTTTAGATTTGACATCAAAAGCAATGAAAACAAAAGCAAAAATAAACACATGGGACTACATAAAAGGAAAATGCTTCTGTACAGCAAGGAAACCACCACCAATTAAAAAGACAACCTATGGAATGGGAGATGATTTATAAGTTGCCAATAAGCAAAAGAAAAGATACTCAATAAAATTAGTTATTAAGAAAATTTAAGTTAACGTGTAAAGAGATATGACTTCACAAACTAGAATTGCTAAAGTTAAAGAGACAATTCTAAGTTTTGACAAGGATGTGGATTAACTAGAGATCTCATATATTGCTGGTAGTAATGTAAAAGAAAACAACCTCTTGGAAAATCAGTTTTTTTAAAGGTTAAGATACACTTACTAGGTTATCCAAAAATTCTACTACTTGATATTTACCAAAGAGAAATGAAAACTCACGTCCACACAAAAAATCTAGGCAAGCAAGTTTATAGCATTTTTATTCACTAGAGCGAAAAATTATAAAACAAACAAATGTTCATTAACAGAATAATAATTAAACTATAGAATATTTATAGAATGGAAGATTTTTTAGCAATAGAAAGAATAAACTACTGGTAAATGCAACTACACAAAACATATTGAAGGAAGCCATACAAAAAAGGAGTGCATATTGTATGATTTTATTAAACTCTAGAAAACATAAAACTAATTTATTGTGATAGAAGCTGTTAGTGTTTGTCTGGGCCTGGGTTTGTGGAGTCTTTTATTGGCTGCAAAAAAGGCACATGGGAACTTTTTAGGGCCATGAATCTATTTTGTATATTTTTTTCTCTTTCAGTTTTATTTTTTTATTATTTTTTTAAATTAAATCTTTATTGTTCAGATTATTACATTTGTTCCTCTTTTTCCCCCCCATTACTCCCCTCCACCCAGTTCCCACCCCACCCTCTGCCCTCACTCCCCACCCACTGTCCTCATCCATAGGTGTACAATTTTTGTCCAGTCTCTTCCCGCATCCCCTACACCCCCTTCCCCCCAAGAGTAGTCAGTCCATTCCCTTTCTATGCCCCTGATTCTATTATAATCACCAGTTCATTCTGTTCATCAGATTATTTATTCACTTGATTTTTAGATTCACTTGTTGATAGATGTGTATTTGTTGTTCATAATTTGTATCTTTACCTTTTTCTTCTTCTTCCTCTTCTTAAATGATACCTTTCAGCATTTCATATAATACTGGTTTGGTGGTGATGAACTCCTTTAGCTTTTCCTTATCTGTGAAGCTCTTTATCTGACCTTCAGTTCTGAATGATAGCTTTGCTGGATAAAGTAATCTTGGTTGTAGGTTCTTGGTATTCATCACTTTGAATATTTCTTGCCACTCCCTTCTGGCCTGCAAAGTTTCTGTTGAGAAATCAGCTGATAGTCGTATGGGTATTCCCTTGTGGGTAATTGAGTCTCTTTCTCTTGCTGCTTTTAAGATTCTCTCTTTGTCTTTTGCTCTTGGCATTTTAATTATGATGTGTCTTGGTGTGGCCCTCTTTGGATTCCTCTTGTTTGAGGGGTCTCTGCGCTTCCTGGACTTGTAAGTCTATTTCTTTCACCAGGTAGGGGAAGTTTTCTGTCATTATTTCTTCAAATAGGTTTTCAATATCTTGCTCTCTCTTCTTCTGGCACCCCTATAATTCGGATGTTGGTGCGCTTGAAGCTGTCCCAGAGGCTCCTTACACTATCTTCATATTTTTGGATTCTTTTTTCATTTTGCTTTTCCAGTTGGGTGTTTTTTGCTTCTTCGTATTTCAAATCTTTGACTTGATTCATGCGATCCTCTGGTCTGCTGTTGGAAGTCTGTATAATATTCTTTATTTCAGTCAGTGTATGCTTAATTTCTAGTTGGTCCTTTATCACAACATCGAGGGTCTCACTAGATTTCTTGAGGGTCTCATTAAGTTTATTGGTGGTTTCTAGAAAATTCTTGAACAACCTTAAAAGTGTGGTTTTGAACTCTATATCCAGTAGTTTGCTTTCCTCCATTTCTGTCATTTGTGTCCTGTTTCTTTGTCTCGGCATTTTTTATGCTTCGCTGTGTCGATAGAGTGGCTTTCTGTGCTAAGTGTCCTATAGGGCCCAGTGGCTCAGCCTCCCCAATTACCTGAGGTGGACACTCTTGGTGCACCCCCTTGTGGGCTTTGTGCACAGTCTTGTTGTAGTTAAGCCTTGATTGTTGTAGGTATCACTGGGAGGATTTGACCTCCAGGCCAATTGGCTGTGAGAATCAGCTGTGTCTACGGTGGGAGAACTTCTGTGCTGAAGACACCCTTATGGGGCAAGACTTGCTTCAGTGGGGCTTTGGTGCTCACTGAGTCTGCCCCCTGAGTGTGTCCCTTATGGATCTGAGGAGTTGTAACTGGATGATCCCACTCTGACCACTGGGTAGACTGGCTCTTGGATCTAAGGAGGTGCTAATCTAGCCTCTGCCTGAGGCTACCCAGCAGAAGCCAGCTGTAAAGCAATGCAAGTTGCCCTGGGGCCTTGGGGCAGCTGCAGTTTGTTAAGTAATTTTCAGATTACAAAGGGCCGGGCCTTTCATATGCAAAAGCCTCCGTGCACGGCTTGGGCGGGGCGGGGCCCCAGGGGATCAACAGGGTGGGCGGATCAACAGTCCTGCACTTAGAGGCCCCGGCTATTGCTGCGAGCGCCTCCGAGAGAAAGCTGCCCTTGAGTTCTGATTGATGCCAGACAGTCCCGCTTCTCCTGTATGAGTCTGGGTCCCCAGAGACTCGCCCGGAACTGAAGCTCAGAGCTTGAGACTCCCTCCCGATTGAAAAAGACAATCGTGTCCTCAGCCGCTAGCCCTCTCCGCATGCACCTCCGCACCTTTGTATTTTACTTCTGCACCGCACCTCCTCTGAGTCTCGGTATGCTTTTCTCTTTCCTTCTAGTTGTAGAATTTCCACTCAGCCAGCCTTCCTGTGGTTCTGGATGATGTCTGTTCCGTCTTTTAGTTGTATTTTTGAAGTGGTTGTGTGAGGCAGCAATCTCTGGTGTTTACCTATGCCGCCATCTTGGTTTCCCCTATTTTGTATTTTAATTGTGGTGATGGTTATTACAGATAAGGATGTTGTGAACATGAATGTACATGCTCTTTTGAAGACAAGCATTTTCATTTGTTGTTAGTAAATATTTAGTAACATGGTAAGTGTAATTGTTCTGGTTCCTATTGCTGCAAAATAACAATTTTCTCTAAACATTAGCAGTTTAAAACTCTTTTTTATTTTGCTCATGATTTCCTGACCAAGGAATTAAGGAAGGGCTTAGTGTGGCAGTTCTCTCATGAGGTTTCAGGGGCTGATGTCATCTGAAGACTCAGTTGGGCTGAGAATCCAGGATGGCTCAAGAACATGGCTGGCAGCTGGGTCAGCTGGTTAGTGGACCAGAGCACCTGCATATCCTGTATAATAAAAGCGTAGTATGCAAATTGTCCCCTCGACCTGGAGTTGTCTGGGAGTTCAACCAAGGGGTGGGGTCGGCCAGGGGAAGGGAGGGAGGCCCTGGCCGGCAGCCAGCAGCCACTAGGTACCCCACCAGTGCACAAATTTCGTGCACTGGGCCTCTAGTAATAGTATCTGCAGCATGTAATCTCAACATGTAAACTCTCTCTAAAGCAAATTTCCTAAGCTAATTTTGGGGAGGCTGCATGACATTTTTGACCAGGTGTTGAAAGACAAGTGGTTACTTTCACTGCATACTATTACTTACATGCAATTCAAGAAGGTCAACCCAGATTCCAGGTGTTGAACATTCAATAGAGTATACATATGTTGTACACCTGAAATTTATACAATGTTATTAACCAATGTTACCCTAATAAACAATGAAAAACAGGAAATTTTGGCATTGTCAGAAGCAGAAGTCTCCACAAACAGGGTGAACTCTAATATTATGGTAATATTACTTTTATTTTACAGCTTTCATTTCAGACCCCATCACTGGGTGATTGTTTAGTTTAAATCAGTTTCCTGCTCCTCATCCCCACTAACCCTCTGACCACTGCTGTTTCTGTAGGAAACCAGACCCAGGTGCTGCCCCAGTGTGACTCCATGTCTGCACCAGCAGGCTCTGCAGCCTCAGAGGAGAGCCCTGCCAGCTGCTCAGGTGAGGGCTCCACCAAGACCAGAACACCCTCCTCTTTCCCTGTGTAAATACCCCATTGGCCTGACTCTCTCTCCTCAGACAGGGGACAGCTCCGCCTGGTGGACGGGGGCGGTCCCTGTGCCGGCAGAGTGGAGATCCTTCACCAGGGCTCCTGGGGCACCATCTGTGATGACAGCTGGGACCTGAACGATGCCCAGGTGGTGTGCAGACAGCTGGGCTGTGGAGAGGCCCTCAACGCCATGGTCTCTGCTCACTTCGGGGAAGGGTCAGGCCAGATCTGGCTGGATGACGTGAGCTGCACAGGAAAGGAGTCCCACCTGTGGAAGTGCCCTTCCCGGGGCTGGGGACAGCACGACTGCTGGCACAAGGAGGACGCGGGGGTCATCTGCTCAGGTCTCACTGCACATTGTCCATAGGCTGGGGGAGAGGGGAGGGTCTCGAGGATCGGAGTCTGAACCCTGAGAGGTGCTGCTGAAAGGGCCACAGAGTCTGTCTCACTGGCAGGTATGGAGATTGGTGCTTTCATTTCCTCCTGCACCAGCTGAGGCTCTGGTCCTTCCTTCTCAGCAATATCCGTGACAAAGCCATTTCTTTTCTTTTCTTTTAAAAAAAAATATATTTTATTGATTTTTTTACAGAGAGGAAGGGAGAGGGATAGAGAGTTACAAACATCGATGAGAGAAACATTGATCAGCTGCCTCCTGCACACCCCCTACTGGGGATGTGCCAGCAACCAAGGTACATGCCCTTGACTGGAATCGAACCTGGGACCCTTGATTCCGCAGGCCGACGCTCTATCCACTGAGCCAAACCAGTTAGGGCCAAAGCCATTTCTTACAGAGTTTCCATTAAAAGCGGGGCTCACTCTTCAGTTGCCTATGGTAGTAAAATCTTGAGATCTTACTGATATTGTAATGAATTACCATATACTTAGTGGTTTAAAACCACCCCAATTTATTACCTTATAGTTCTGTGCGTTTGAAGTCCGACCAGGAGTCTCACTGGGCTGACATCGAGGTGTCAACAGGGCTGCATTCTTTCTGGAGGCTCCAGGGAAGATTTCTTTTCCCTGCCTTTTCTAGTTTCTAAAGAAGGTGCACACTCCTTGATTCCTACTTCCCTTTCTTTTTCTTCAAACAAACAATGTTGCCTCCCTATGACCATTCTTTCCTACTCACATTTCCCCCTGACCTGAAGCTGGGAAAGTTTATTTGTTTTTTAGGAGAGTGAGTCTACTGGTAAGGATGTGATTAGACTAGGCTCACCTGGTTAGTCCATGATATCCCAAGTTAATCTCACCATTCAACGTCCTTATCTTAATAGTAACTATACAGTCCCTTTCGCCATGTTAGGAAACATGTTCACAGATTCCAGAGGGGAGGATGTAGGAATTTGGGGTCTGTTATTCTGTCTACCACCCACTCTCCACACTTCCTTTCACATACTCTGTCAGAAGGTTTGTCAGGAAGTGGCATTCAGCTTTTCCTCCCTGCGGAAGGCCCAGGTTGGTGATCCTCTCTCCACTACATCATTGAAGTAGAGATAGGCAGACACAAATGGACAAAGTCAGGGAAAAGGGACACAGAGTTCTATCTTGCCACTTAGGGGCGTCTCCTCAGCAGTCAGGGACAAGTGTTCACAGGCTCTGGGAGAGAGCGCTGAGTGGCATGCTCACTGTGCCCTGTTTCCCCTCTTCCACTTTCAGAGTTCCTGGCCCTCAGGATGGTGAGCAAGGACCAGGAGTGTGCTGGGTGGCTGGAAGTTTTCTACAACGGGACCTGGGGCAGTGTCTGCTACAGCCCCATGGAAGCTACAACCTTGTCCACGATCTGCAGACACCTTGGCTGTGGGGACAGTGGGACCCTGGACTCTTCTGTTGATTTTAGGGAAGGTTCTAGACCCCGGTGGGTAGATGGAATCCGGTGTCGGAAAACTGATACCTCTCTCTGGCAATGTCCTTCTGACCCTTGGAAATACAGCTCATGCCTTCCAAGAGATGAAGCTTATATCACGTGTGCAGGTGAATTACTGTCTGTTTCTATGTGTCTGTGCCACCCCTGTAGGATATAGTTAGTGAGACTTTATGTTTTCAAATCTAAGGGATGATTGTAAGATGAGTCTACAAAATAAAGTTGGATGAAGATGATTTAATGCATATGTTGTAATCTTGTTTCAAAGGAAAAAATAAGAAAATCCATGTTCACAGCAATTTAAGTGAAAAATATCAGGAAGATTGGAAAAAAAAACTTGTAGGGAGCACAAATAATATTCTGATAAACTTTCTAAGGAATTGTTAAAAAATTAGGAGTGGTTAAAAGATCTGCATAATACCTTGAAGTAGGTAAGGGACAGAGCAGTGAATCAATCTTGACGGCTTTGTCTCTTAAACTCATGGTATTTTACTCTGAAATGCATCTATATCACTTAGACTACTTTTCAAGTCAGTCTGTTGGTTGATAGTAATTGAGTGCCTGAAGGTACAAATTTATACTATAGGTAAGAGGACAGAGAAGAGAAAAAATATGTAGTCACTGCTCTCATAGAATTTACAATCCAGTGCTGAAAACTCTTATGAGGCAGAAATTTCAAGTGTCATGAAGCATGAGGAAGTGGTTGGAAATGTGTAATTTGGGCAAAAGAAGAGATCATATTTAGATGGAGACTTACAGGAAGAATAAGAATTTATTTTAAAAAATATTTTTATTGATTTCAGAGAGGAAAGGAGAGGGAGATAGAAATAGAAACCTCAATGGTGAGAAAAATATTGATGGGCTGCCTCCTGCACGCCCCCTACTGGAGATTGAGCCTGCAACTTGAGCATGTGCCCTTGACTGGAATCAAACCCAGGACCCTCCAGTCTGCAGGCCAGTGCTCTATCCACTGAGCAAAACCAGCTAGGGCAAGAGTTTCCTAAAGGAAGAGAATCAAAAGACCATTTTGGTCAGTGTAAATACTGAGTAGGGATAGGACATGATATATTTGAGGTACCGAGAATATTCCATCCTGGGCAGAGCAGAAAGAGGGCGAAGGAGAGGGATACAGGATTAGCCTGGAATGGTGAGCAGAGCAAAGACCTCTGTTAGGCAGGACCCAATAAAACAATCCTGTTAAAGAGGAATTTGTTTTACTTCTTGGCTGCCACACCATGGAGAACTGCTGGGAGGTTAGTGACCTCAGGTTCCTATATCTCACACTGAAAAATAGATAAGTTTAGAATCTGCTGTATAATTTCCCTTTAAAAAGTAGAAGTGGAACATTGAATACAAATTACTTCTGTGGTTCTGGACTTATTTGTTTTTAATATTCACTATTTATTACCACAATTCATGAATATTAATTTGTATTTCTTTTATTATCTTACTGATCAGCAAGAACTTAAGTGAATTATATTTCACTGAATTTTATTCATTGATCCACTCATTCAACAAATGTTGATCAAGATCCTATACCTAGTATTTATAGAAGATCATCAATGTATACTCATTGAATGAATGCATATAATGTGCCAGACACTGTCTTAATAGCAGAAACACAGAGGTGAATAAGATATGCAAGGTTCTTCCTCTAGGGGAGCTTTCATTCAGGTGTATGTGGTGTGTGTGTGTTTGTGTGTGTGTGTGTGTGTGTGTATGTGTGTGTCTGTGTCTGTATTTGTTGTGGTATGTGGAGAGTGATAAACAAGTAAGTAGATAAAGTAATCTTGGCTGGTGATAGAGGCTAGGATCCAGTGAATGTCTCAGTAACTCAGCCTATTAGATTAAAAAAAGGCCCGTGTTTTCACTTGTCATTGGACTGAACCAAGGACCTTAAATAATCTTGTTGTGGGGCAAGACCATGTCCAGCTGTTCCTGATCCAGTGCTTTCCCATTGTCTGCTTTGCAGGAAGAAGACCCAAGAGCTGTCCCTCTACTGCCCCCTGCACAGGTACATCAGCCCCTCCCACCTTCCCTGTTGGCTCCCAGAACCTCCTTCCTTTCCACCAGAGGCAGTAACAGGAGGTGGTGCTGCCTTTTCAGACAAAGACAAGGTCCGACTCAGGGATGGAGACACCAAGTGCTCAGGGCGAGTGGAGGTTTGGCACAATGGCTCCTGGGGCACAGTGTGTGATGACTCCTGGAGCCTGGCAGAGGCTGAGGTGGTGTGTCAGCAGCTGGGCTGTGGCTCTGCCCTGGAAGCCCTGCAGGAGGCGACATTTGGTCCAGGACATGGGCCCATCTGGCTGGATGAGGTGCAGTGCAGGGGCAGGGAGTCCTCCCTGTGGGCCTGTGCTGCGGAGCCCTGGGGGCAGAGCAACTGCAAGCATGAGGAGGATGCTGGCGTGAGGTGCTCTGGTGAGTGGAGGAGCGTGGGTCCTGCTCTGGTTGAGCTGGGGTAGGGGTGGGACAATGGGCTGGCCTGGAATAAGATGGGGAGTTTGTATTTAGAAAGTATCTAGGTTCTGCAGTCCTAGATCTACGAGAGGGGTGCTAGGAGGACTCAGTATTGATATCGATAACTGAGGGGTGAACTCATGTTCTGGCCAATTTCTGCACTCCAAACTCCTGTTTGTCTCTCTAGGTGAAAGAACAACATTGCCCACCACTACAGCAGGTACAGTGTCACCATCCATTCATGGGGGAGAATGTTCAAATTCCTGGGACATGTCCTGAGGAATCTCTGACAGAATTAGCCAACTCAGGGAAGGAAATCCTGAGGAGCAACTGGATGGTAGGGAAGTATCAAGGTATTTTCATTGGAGAAACGTTCCCCCCTTTTTTTGTTCACTGTGACAGAAGTTTCTCATGCCCTCAGGCCATCGGAGGCTGGCTCTTATGTTGAGAATGTAAGACTTTTTTCACCTGCTCATGAGTATTGCTCCTCAGCAGCTATGCTACGTTGTTTGATGCTCTGGTCTGGTGAAGCCCAAGAGAAGGGGTTGAAGCTGTGCCCTGGCCTTTAGAGGTTGTAGCCCCGGAGATCCCTGATGATCCCCAGCATTCCTTTGGACCACAGTGGAGGGGGAGTTGAATTTATCTTAGGACATGGCCTGGGGGAGTGCCCACCAGGGTCACAGTCAATCCCATTATGTTGAAAGCTGAGACTTCACTGTTCTGAGCTCTCTGGAAATGCTGGCATAAGTGAGTTTCCCTGCACATATGTCCTTCTTGATATTCTCTTGGCTTTGTTCTTTCTAGGGACCAGATCTGGCCCAAGTCCTGTACCTGGCATCTTCTCCCTGCCTGGGACCCTTTGCCTCATCTTAGGGGCCCTTCTCTTCCTGGTCCTCATCATCCTGGCAATTCAGCTGTACAGAGGGAGAGTGGAGCACAGAGGTGGGTAATATGGAAAATGTATGGAGGCAGGAAATGGGCCAGGTGTGACAAGGGGAAAATTGGGCAAGGTATCTGTTCTTACCCCATTGGTTTGCAAAATACATGTGCCCCACGTTAGCCTCTAAGGGCAGAATATATAGAAGTTCTTAAGAATGGGATGTGGCCTGGCTGCTGTGGCTCAGTGGTTGACTGTTGATCTATGAACCAGGAGGTCACAGTTCGATTCCCAGTTGGGGTACATGCCCAGGTTGCGGGCTCGATCCCCAGTAACAGGTGTGCAGGAGGAGGCTGATTAATGATTCTCTCTCATCATTTATGTTTCTATCTCTCTCTCCCTCTCCCTTTCTCACTGAAATAAATAAAAATATATATATTAAAAAAATATATTAAAAAAAAGAATGGGGTGTGAGCACTCATAATCGTGGCTTTTTATGTGAGACAAGAAAGGGTAAAAGCTGAGCTTTGGATACAGGGTCAGACAAAGGTAGAAGGTGCAGACCTGGTGCATGGGTATAAGACTATATAGGGCAGCGGTTCTCAACCTGTGGGTCGCGACCCCTTTGGCGGTTGAATGACTCTTTCACAGGGGTCGCCTAAGACCATCCTGCATATCAGATATTTACATTATGATTTATAACAGTAGCAACATTACAGTTATGAAGTAGCAACGAAAATAATTTTATGGTTGGGTCACAACATGAGGAACTGTATTTAAAGGGCCAGAAGGTTGAGAACCACTGATATAGGGCTCCTGGAAGCTGTGAGGGTTTTTCCATGTGTGAGCATCGGGGATAATGAAGGTGTCTCAGGTGGCAATCTCTGACCTGCTGGTGGTTTTCTCAGCCTTATCCAATTTAGAATATGCTCTTGATGAAGCCATGTATGAGGAAATTGATTATCGGGTATCGCCGAAGAAAGAAGCTCTACTGAGCAGCCCAGGTGAGTGTCCCTGCCTTGCCCTCCTGGCACCTCTACTTTTCAGCCACCTGCTGGCTATGGTCCAGGTCTTCTCCGCAACTGCAGACCCCACATGTACCCCAGGCTCACAGAGGCAGGATGAGCCCCTCCAGAGCTCCTGTGAGCTCTGAGCCTTCCCTTGACTCTGTAAGAGCCATGTTAGCCCCAGCATTTCTTCTCAGCCTTACTGTGGAGCCTATGGGTGTGGGAAGGGTTGTTTGCCCCAACCTGCACGGCTAGGGTTCAGGATCTGAAGGAGGGGCCAATGCACAAATGAAAATACTATATAAGAAATATGAATTTAGAAGGCATGGGGGGCCGGGTGGAGACCTCTCTTTTGGAGAGGCACACTGAAACCTGGCCTTATCCGCTTTTTATTCAGTTTTAGATACACATCTTGCCCTCAGTAAAGCACGGCAAACAGATAGCAGACAGATCATCTCTAAGGGCAATAATGATCAGTAAAGATCAGTAAGGTCCAGTAAACATTTACTTTGAGGCTATTAGGTCAGGAAATTGTTTTGAGCCACCACAATCTCAACAGAACAATGATGCTTGACATTAGCCCTGCTAATCGTCCAAGGTCCATCAGCCTTCCGCATTCCTTGGTGCGCTCTCATGATAGTATCGGTAGTGGATGGCTTCCTGCAGTTGTTTTGTTTGTTTGTTTGTTTTTGTGATGTTTTCCTCTACAGTAGAGTTTCTGTCAGATGACTCAGTGAAAAAAAATGCCATATTACACCAGAGATGGTGAGAAAAGTGACTATAAATATGTTCTAGGTAGTTGAGGTAGATCTGTCTTGGCTGGATAGTGAGGGCAGAAGAATTTCCCTCAGAAATGAGAGCCAAGGGAGATAGTTTTTCTTTGACTAAGATTAGAGGGGTCGCTTCCTCTTCTCTGGTGGCTTTGAAATGCCTCATGTTGGGGCCAGGCTCTCGGTGTCCAGAACCAACCCCATTCAGCCACAGCAGGCACAAATTGTTTTTTAAAAAATAACATCTGGAAAGTATGATCTGATAAAATATTTTAGTAATGCTTTTTGGTATAAGAGTTCTTTGAAAATATGAAGTTTTAATCAAGAAATATTGAAATATTTGGATAACTGTCTGGTTTATTGGCCCATAAAAATGAAATATATGGCCTTAGAAAAGACCTGTTAAATCATGGGGCAAATGGTGCCTCTGATTAGCAACCACCAGAATCTCTGGGTCAGAAAGGATTCTAGGCATTACCTAAACCAATGATGGCGAACCTTTTGAGCTCGGCGTGTCAGCATTTTGAAAAACCCTAACTTAACTCTGGTGCCGTGTCACATATAGAAATTTTTTGATCTTTGCAACCATAGTAAAACAAAGATTTATATTTTTGATATTTATTTTATATATTTAAATGCTATTTAACAAAGAAAAATCAACCAAAAAAATGAGTTCGAGTGTCACCTCTGACATGCGTGTCATAGGTTCGCCATCACTGACCTAAATCAATCCATTTACTGTGGTTGCACCTGACCCCCTTGTCTGCCCTTAGAGCCCTCAGCTCAGAGGACTGATGCCTTTAGCGAGATTTACGATGATGCTGAAGAGGTTCCAGTGCCCCAGGCTCCTTCTGCCTCTCAGATGAACGAGTGGGAAGTGCCCTTAGAGGACAATGGAGTGAGAATTTTTCAGACAGGTGAGTGGGGATTACTTGATCCCTGTATATTTTGTCTCTGGCCTGGAAAGGATGAATTTGATCTCTTCAATGCCCATTCTTATTGTAGATTCAAAATTTGGATGACCTAATATGTTTGATAGCATCACTTAGACCAGTGGTCGGCAAACTGCTGCTCGCGAGCCACATGCGGCTCTTTGGCCCCTTGAGTGTGGCTCTTCCACAAAATACCACGTGCAGGTGCGCATGTAACAGTGCGGTTGAAACTTCGTGGCCCATGCGCAAGAGTTGGTATTTTGAGGAAGAGCCACACTCAAGGGGCCAAAGAGCCGCATGTGGCCCGCGAGCCGCCGTTTGCCGACCACCGAAGACCATTTTCATTTCTTTAATGCTTTCAGATTCCTTAGGAGGGAGGAAGAACTCTGTAGTCTTTTTATCTGTGTTTTCATAACTTTATCCTCAATGTGACAGCATTAAGGCTTGCAGATTAATTGAGCATATTTACCAAATCCAAAAATGGAACAACTGTTCTTTTAAAATTTTTGTGTTGTCTTATACATAAAAGGCAGTAAGGGATTTTAAAAAAATATTGCAATATTGGAATTTGTGAGACATTTTGATAATTTAAGATATGCTATGATCATATATGTTAGCCCTAACAAGGTTTATGATATATGGTGACCTTAAACATTAAAGCCACTGTGGTGGATTATAGACTCAGAATTTGTAGGCAGCCAAGGCCTAATCCTCTCTAGACATTTAATGGCCAAATGAAGATACTCATTCTCCAGAGAAGAGTGTCCACCTGAGGGTTCAAGTGATTCCATAGGGCAACTGTGAAGGAATTCTGTGATTGTTTTTGTTGGTATCTGGGAACATAAATCAAGGCCAGCAAGAGCAGACTGAGATTTTCAGTGAAGAATTGAGATTTCTCCATTTATGGTTTCCTGTCTCCTCCTTGTGAATGCAGACCTGAAAATTGTGAAAGGAGCTTTCACATTTTGTCATGTAATTCTCACCATTCTTGGGTTATCTCCCTGTTAAGTGTGTAAGCCAGGGAAAAGGTCTTTAGAGAGTGCATGTCCTGGTCACAGATCTCCTGTGATTCAGGGTTTCCCAGATAAGCTGTGGCCCCAGAGACCCACATGGACTGGATCCTGATAGGATAGCCTTGGTACACCCTTGCTGTAACTAATATTAAATAGTCAGCGCCTACTTGAGCATTAATAGGTCCCCAGATGCCGAAACCGGTTTGGCTCAGTGGATAGAGCGTCGGCCTGCGGACTGAAAGGTCCCAGGTTCGATTCCGGTCAAGGGCATGTACCTGGGTTGCGGGCACATCCCCAGTAGGAGATGTGCAGGAGGCAGCTGATCGATGTTTCTCTCTCATCGATGTTTCTAACTCTCTATCCCTCTCCCTTTCTCTCTGAAAAAAATCAATAAAATATATTAAAAAAAAATAGGTCCCCAGAGATGCTTTTTTACTACCATTTACTAGACTTACTTCTACTTTGGGGCACTGTCCTGTGCCTCTATCACAGTTCTAATTAAACTTCTCTTTACTGTTGCAGGCTCCTCTCTGCACTTCCCTGAAGGGGCAGCTCATCCTAGGAAAGAAGATAGTCCCTGGCTGCTCCAGGGGAGAGAAGAGGATCCTGAGTATGACGACCCTGAACTAAGTGTTGTTGGAACATCTACAGTAGCTTTCCATGCTGTTGTGTTAAAAAAGAGATGAGGTCTCAGATAGTCTGTCTCTATTCCAATAGGGTAGTACTGACCTATAATTATATCATATGGAAATTGCTCAAAATTAACTATTCTGAATAGAGCACTTTTTGCTTTGTTGATAAATCAGCGAGTTTGATCTAATTGCTCTTAGAGGACTGGTCCTCAATCAGTTTCCTTATGAAGATATTGGGAACTGACCTGTTTATTCATCTCCCCCACAAACTACTCAAGGCATTAACTTTGCCCAGGCTCATGGGTGCTCAGGTCATTCTTGCTTAGACAAGGGACTCTAAAGTTGGTCCACACTCACACCCTCATGCCTAGCAAGATGAACTCATATAAAAATCCTGAACATTCATGTATGCTCTTTGCTGAGATGTCACATCATCTGTTTTTAAACAATTTCTAGAAACCAGACTTGGGTGTGAATTTCAAAGTTGAGGGTGAGAGGCTGGCTAGTAAGAGAGAATGAGTAAAACTTTCCTTACTCTGTCCAAACTTTCACAGAACAATTAAAAATGTAATTTTATATAACTGTTTCTTCTTTTTTCACCTCTAATTTCCTAAGCTGCTTTTCATTTATTACTCAAGCTCATACAGTCTCCTTACTTTTTCCTCATGTCTAGTTGGTTATGAAATCCTTTTAAATTCAGACTTTCCGTCCTGACCGGTGTGGCTCAGTGGATAGAGCGTCGGCCTGCAGACTGAAGGGTCCCGGGTTTGATTCTAGTCAAGGGCATGTACCTTGGTTGCGGGCACATCCCCAGTAGGGGGTGTGTAGGAGGCAGCTGATGGATGTTTCTCTCTCATCGATATTTCTAATTCTCTATCCCTCTCCCTTCCTCTCTGTAAAAAAATCAATAAAATATGTTTAAAAAAACACACAAAAAACCAAACAAACAAAAAATAAATTCAGATTTTCCTCTCCATTCCTTTCTCATATTTATTTAGGACATTGCCATTTATTGTCTGTTTAATTATAAAACCTTCTAAGCAAATTATATAAACTCATCTCTTTTTATTGCAAGTTGATGGAGGACAAATTGGCACTCACCCACAGACCTGCATCCAAGTAGGCAAGAAAACAAGGAAGAGGAGACCTAGTCAGAGGAAACCCAGAAGGAATACAGACAGAAAAAACAAGAACTTTTGGCTACATGAGTTTTGCAGATTGGATGAAGGGATCTGACATGATTAAACTAATAGAAAAATAATTTCAGACCAGTGGGCTTCTCTGAAAATATATTGCTTTAAGGTTTCTTTGATCTGGAGACTATTTAACATACACATGTGGCTTTGCTGTGATTCTTGAGTAAAGAGATATTCTGTAGCAGTGGCCAAATAAAGATTACATCTTCAAAACTCCACCACAATAAATGTGTGGAGAGGTTGATGAACTAATATAAGAACTAATATAAGAAGTGAGCTGAGCCCATGTAATTACTTAGCTGGTGGTTATGGATGCCATCTGGGGGCGGGGGTGGGGGGGAGGGGCGTGTATTAACTATACTCATTCTTGTAATCTTCATAAATTGTAGTAGGTCATTGGGATTAGAAGGTGGCCAGGGCTTCTCCCAGTGTAATATACATGGCCATTGGTCATAGGAAAATGACAAAAACAATGAAAAGTAAAGTATACCCACCAAAATTATGAGATTTTACTTCTGATGCATGGTGTCAATGAAGCCACAAAAGAGAGATGGCTGCTATAATTTTTGGTGATAAAAATTAGGAAAATTTAAGGAAGAGAGAGTTAGGACAAACTTCACCACCCAGATTTGGGAGGGTTCCAGGGTTTATGGATTGGGTGCTAAAAAAGCAGCCAGGAGTTGGTGAACAGATTTTCAGAGTGTTTAGACTTAGGGAGAAAAGCAGCAATCATTTCAAATGATCTATGTTGCTTATGAATGAGCCTCTTGTGAGGGGGTGATAATGGAAGATATACCATTCTAGGGTATGCAACAAAAACCAGAAAACTTCTCTGCTTAGTAGTAACTATGACAAAGCAGCAGACTATCTTGATAAATAAAGACCAAGAAGATTTATTGTACGGACTTTCACTACAAAAAATGGTAAAGGAAATTCTTTAGGCTGGAGGTAAATGACAGAGATGGAAACAGTTCTATAGAAAGTAATAATTAGAAAACATATAAGAAACTATGAAAGGTCATATTTTCTTCTTAATTTCTACAAAAAATATATGACTATTTGAGGCAAAAATCATAAAGATGTAGTATAGTCATCAAAATCCATGTGAGATATAATACATATGACAGCAATAGCACCAAGGATGGAAGTAAATAGAACCACATTGTTGCGAAGTTCTTACATTTTACTTGATATAGTACAATATTACATAGTACATAAGGAGACTATGATAAGATAATGGTGCATATTCTAATGCCTAGAGAAACCACTAAATATTGATGTAAAGATATATAGCTAAAAAGCCAGTAGAGAAATTAAAACAGAATATAAAATATATTAAATTAACTTAAAAGAAGGTAGAAAGAGATGAACAAAAGAGATATAGCACAAATAGAAAATAGAGAGCAAAATGGTAGTGCTAAATCCAACCATATTATAATTATACCAGAGGCCTGGTGCACGGATTCGTGCACTGGGGGGGGGGGGGGGGTCCTTGGCCTGTGGGGATCAGGCCAAAAACGGCTCTCCAATATCCCCTGAGGGGTCCGGATTATAAGAGGGCAGTTCTTGGGTGACGAACCCTGGAATTGGGCTACCTCCTCTCTAGTTTCAGGTGCATCACCCAAGAACTGAGAACCACAGCTGCCAAGTCACTGCAGCTTGGCAGCTCCTGCATTGAGCGCCTGCCCCCTGGTGGTCAGTGTGCCTCATAGCTATCGGTCGGATGGTCAAATGGTCAGATGGTCACTTAGGCTTTTATATATATATATAAAATGTAAATGAACCATATTGTCTAATTAAAAGGCATAGGTTGACTACTACACATCTATTAGAGCAGCTAAAATAAATAACAGTGATTATATCAAATGCTAATGAAGATGAAGAGAAACTGGTTCTCTCATACATTGCTGGTGGAATATAGCCAATCTCAAAAGCAGTTTGGCAATTTCTTCAGACTAAACATGCACTTGCTATTTGATGCAGCCATTACATTTTTGGGCATTTATCCAAGAGAAATAAAACCTTATGTTCACACAAAACCTGCACACAAATGTTCTTAGCAGTTTTATTTGTAATAACAAAATACTGGGATAGAGTCCAAATGTCTTCAATGGGTCAATGGTTGAACAAACTCCGATGCATCCATACAATGGAATGCTTTTCAGCAATATAAAGAAATGGCCTACTGATACATATAACAACATGAGTGGGCTTCAAGAATATTATGCTTAGTGAAAAAAGTCAATTGTAAAAGATTACATCCAAAGGTTATATGATTCCATTTATATAACATTATCAAGATGACAAAACTATAGACATGGAGAACAGATTAGCAGTTGCCAGGTGATAGGGAGAGGGGTGAGGTAGGGTGGGAAGTAAGTGTGAACACAAAGAGGTAGCATAAAGCAGTTCTTTTGTGGTGACTGACTAGTTCTATAACTTAATTTTAGTCACTTTAGGCTTTTCTTGTATCCTGTACATTTTTTTTATTGTTTAAAGTTTTACATATGTCTCCTTTTCCCCCAATTGACCCCCCCTCCCAGCCATTCCCACCCTGGGCAAGCCCCCACCACCCCAGTGTCTGTGTCTTTCCCTCTCTCTTCCACTCTCTCTAAAAATCAATGGAAAAATATCCTCGGGTGAGGATTAAAAATAAACAAACTAACTTCTGATTGTACTGCATATGGTTATGCTGGGAAAAACAAAGTTCTAGAGTTGCAGAAGTTTTTTTTTAGATATCTGATAGTGTGCCCATCTACCGAAAACAAGGCCTGCCTGACCAAATGCTTTATGGAACCACTGTGGCACTGATGGTGGGAGAATCTTTCTACTGCCTGATCACCTTCTCCATGGCTTCACATTCCAGAAACAAGTGAGTCAGGCTGTAAAGGACTGGTTTGCTTTTTGGCATAAATCCTTTGAAATGTAATTGTTTCTGTAAATTAAAAAAAAACTTGAATGGTCTACTTAATTAACATTTTGCAAGAAAAAATAGGAATATAATAAGACAATATTTTGGTTTGTTTTGTGAAATGTACATGGCCTGTCAGAGCTTATTCAATAGTGAAAACTATTGTTCAAAGAAATGCTGCTGCTCATTTGGGTTCTCGCTTTCCCTGGAGGTTCTGGATGAAGGCTGTAAACAGGCACATTCACAGCGGCTGTGCTGAGGTCCTTTGGGACTTACGGTGGCGTTTTTGAGTATGGGGTGCAGAAGCCATTCTGGATGTGAATGTGTCTGAGGAATGAAGACAAAAGCCAAGGAAATGCAGTTTGAGTTAGTAGTCACATTGGGGATTTTTCCATCTTGCAGTAAAATGTTAGTAGAAATTATTTACAGCACGCCTCTATTTATTGAACAGTTTGTTTCAAAGGGTTATTTGCCGTATCTCAGGTCTTTACTGAAATTTTATGTGTAATTGTTATGCATTTATTCCACCATGTGAACAGAACACCTGGGTAGTGTTGCATTTTAGACCGATGTCTGTTTTATTTTTTTCTCCAATTGCAGTACAGTTTGGGTGTGTTTTGCTTCCTTGTCTTCTAATTCACTAATTCGGTCCTCTGCTTCTCCTAGTCTACTGTTGATGCTTTCAATGGTGTTTTTTTATTGCAGCTATATCGCTCTTCATTTCTTGTTGGGTCTTACATAAGTTATTGATTTTTTCATCTGTTTCTTCTTGCTTCTTGCATAAGTTGTTGACTTTTTCCTCCTTCCGGTGTATGCACTCTAGGACCCTTATTCTGAATTCTTTTTCTGTCATGTTGCATGCCTCTGTATCACTTAGCTGCTTTTCTGGCGAGTCCTCCTTTTCTTTCCTTTAGGGGTTTCTTTGCCTACCCATGTTTGATCTCACTGACATAGATAGATGTTGAGTCATTCAGTGGCTGCTCCCTGGGTGGCAGGGGCTCCTTGGGCTGTGGTTGCTGCTCGGACGGTTGCGGTAGCAGCTGCTTCTCAGTTGGCAGCAGCTCCTTTGGTGGGTGCTGTTCACAGCTGTGGTGGCTCTTCTGGCTGGTGGGGGGAGGCTTCACGTACAGCTGCTGTTCCTCAGACAGAGGGTGTGGTCATCAGGAGGCTCCTGTTGCTTGGATCTGCGGTCTGGGAAACGCTCCTCTCTTACCAGCACTGCATGATCTGGGAAGCACTCCTCTCTTACCGGCACTGCATGATCTGGTCAGTTCCTCAGGGTGCCCCCTTTAGGCTCAGTTCTCCACAATCACAAATCCAAATCTCAAATCTCCCGGCGCCAGCAAACCCGCGGAACTCCTTTCCCCAGTCAGGGGCTGTGTCTGTCCCAAGAGACGCGGCTGTCTGCCACGCGGTCTCCCTCTGACCCTCTGGGCTCAGAGGTCTGGCAAACTTTCCTGCCCAGATCCCTGGTTTTTTACCTTTCCAGGGGAGCTCTGCCCTTCCCGGCTGCAAACCGTCTCACCAGCTGAGTAATTTCGCCAATTCTGGGTGGGTGTTATTAGTTTCAGCTGCTTACTCCATTTGCTCCGGGACAAGACCTGGGACGCGTCTGCCTATATCGCCGCCATCTTGCTTCTTGTTTTATTGATGCCACTGTGACACAAAGTCTCCTTTACCTTTTAATAATGTTATGGTTTTGAAGTTATGATTTATTTAGATTGTGGGATAAATACATGCACCAAAAGTCTCAAAAAGAAATAAAAGGACCCAACGGCAGTGATCAACAAATTCGATAGCTTGTCTTACTTCCTCTTGCAAAGTTCCCCAGAATAAGGACCATATAAGCATCCAATAAGAATAAGCTGCCAGAACTTAATGTATACTTCATGTATAAAGCAAGTGAACCAGAGAGGCACAAAAAGTGGCTGTGGTGGATACCATGGTCTGAACCTCTCTCTGACTAAAACACCCATTTTCCAGCAGCTGCGAGTGTTGGTGGCTGTGCTCTCTTAAGGGATAGTCCCCATCCAATGACTTCTTAGTACATGGGTACCCGGGCCCAGCCCATTTGCCTCCACTTGGGACAACTAGAAAGGACTGCTTGTACAG